CTAATAATTATCGATCATAGGCTTTAGCCATATGTACTGTACGTATAACTTATATGCTTAAAGTATGAATAATATTTTAAATTTAAATAATCGCACTTTGTAAATATTTTATATGGCTTAGATAGGAGAAGGAATAGTATTATTTGTTAATAAAAAATAAAGTTGCTATTATGTTATTCTATCATTAATTAATATAGGAGCTTACTTGAATAGCTTAGCTGCAGCGATGAGTTATAGGGTAGTTAAGTTAAGAGAAGAAAAATTTCAGTTACTTGATCCACCTATCATTAAGAATTTCATTGGCATTTTAACCTTCGTGATTACAATAGCATTTACTTGCTTATCTCATATTTTCTAAACCAAGTATATAGCGAAAAGTATATTTAATTTTATGAAGAAATAATTTAAATTCGTATAAACTTATATTTTAGCTATCTTGTTAATTCGTGAAATTTTAGTCACATGTTCTTCATTAATAATTGTTGAAAATAGTTAGATTACTCAAGACAGCAATTCAGAATTAATTTAATACATAGTCTTTTTCAAAACTTAAGTAATATATTAATTATAATCTAAACGATTAAGCCAAGATAACTTTAATAAAGCATAGTTACTTCAAAAAGCGAATGGCTGAAATTTTATTTTAATATACTTAGTATTACTACGGTTCTGTTTCAGCTTACAACATTATTTCTCAAATATTAATACTATCTAGAAATTCTATATTAATTTTTAAAAAATTAATATTTACTGTAAAAATAATGTTCACGGCTTTGGTTTATTCCAAGTTTTGTTGCACCGTCTTTTTCGTTGTGATGTTTCTATGTCCTCAATGATAGTAAATGTACGCTTCATATTGTCAACCACATTCTTTACATGTTTTAAATTGTTTGCTGATAGTTCATCGTTCAAATGATTTACTAAACGTTCCAATGCAACTATTTTAGACTTACAATCTTAGTAAAGTTCAGGATCAAGGTTTTCATTATCTTCATTAACGGTAAAAGAATCATTATCCATAACTACGTTTGTAGATATTTGCAACTCAGTATTAATATAGTCTTGTGGATTATTATCATCCCAAATTAAAAATGGATAGTCTGTACGTCATTTAAAATTGGAATATATTAGACGAACACCTTCAGGATTATTTAATTTTTTTTTTTCAATTGCACAATGAACTAGATGTTTGCAGATAAGAAATCTGCTATTTAAAAATGATTTGCAACTACACACCCAACGTGCTAGATCAATTGTATAATGTTTTTTAGCATCTGAAATAACTGGTTTTATTGCGAGCTGTTTCCATTCCCTTTTAAAATCATCAAACCATGATGGAATTATTCGACCGAGTTGCATCTGCTGAAAGCGAAGAACTTGATCTGGCAGAACACGAGAACAAATAACCCATATAAGATAATCTAATCTTGGTCGATTATAACGATAAAGATAGCAATGCTTAAGCACTTTCCAATGTGCTTCAATTAGCATGTTTGTCTTTTCAAGATGAATTGTTGCATGAGTAGAACGTGCCCAGAGACACTATCGTTCAAATTTATACCATGAACACCAGAGATAAGACCATAATAATACAAGATTATTATTAAAGCAAAAATTATACATCTCATGCACAGCATTTGTTCAAATTTCAGTAGAAGTTAAAAATTGTCCACTTGCATTAGATGGAATCTTAGAGTGCATATTAAAATGCATTTTAATTAAGTCAATAACTTTTTGTCGCAGATTTTGAGGGCAAATTTCATTATTTAATTTTTCTAGATTTGGTTTAAACTCTAAATCTATAAAATTAAATTCTGCGGCTGCATCCTCAGGGCAATAGTGAATACGTTGAATCTTTTTATGACATTTAAGCTTTAGATTAATTGCCTTTTCTACGTGCCACTGACAAAGTTGTATATCTGTAGTAGGCCAGGTTCGTTTTGCTGCATTAATCTCAGAAAAGTCTTTATCTGTGTAAAAATATTCCGGATATAATCCCCTATTACGAAGTGAAGTAAAAAATCCAAAGAGAGCATGTGTTCTTCGTTCTTCTTGTGATACATTTTCAGAGGCTTTTGTAGTATCTAATATAAGATAAGCTAATGGATACCCAGAACCTTCAAAATTACAAATTATTCCATATAATTCAAACCGTCCTTTCACGGTTTTATAGGTTGCATCACAGTGAATTTCAGATTTTTGTTGAATTTTATTATATAAAGGTGTTATAAAACCAATAGCAACAATTTGACTATTCATTAACTCAAAACATAGTTCACAACCTGCAGCCTGTTCTGATTTAAGAAAAGTATATGCCGAATTAACATGATCTTCTTCAGACTTATAAAAATTCTGAGTAAAGAATGACCACCAATAACGAATTTGATGTGCTGTAATCTTTGAAATATCAAACTTATCTTGAAGATATGTTCGAATTTGTAGGGGATCCATATGAAGATTTGCTTTGATTTCTTGTTTTATTTCTATAGGCGTTGTAACATCAACTGGTCTTTCATGAAAAATATCATGTTTAAGATCTATTATAACTTTAGTTGCAGGAACATCAACACGTATAATTAGCATTCCATAGCAATCAAAACAAACCATTCTTTGCTGATTTGATTCTTTATAATCACGTGCCAATTCATTATACTGAGAGCAGCTAAAATAGAAGGTGCCAACATTTTCATGGCAAGTTGAGATACGTGGTGCTGTTTTAACTCTTATAAAATTTGAAAACATTAAATATTATTTTTTTTTAAAAAAAAAAAACTTTCTTAATCTTTTTAATACTTACACCCAAGAGTAACCATCACTCTCTTCAATATAATTAACGATTGTATTAGCAATCAACTTAATATTAAAATTCTGATTAACTAAAATAGGCATATCGGCAATATCAACTTGTACTGTAAAGTATAACCCCATATTATTCTCAAGATTGTCTGTCAACCCTGCAAAATATTCACTTAAATCTTCTAATGAAATAACTTCGGGTATATTAACATTATTATCATCAGGCAAGGGTTTTTTTTCAGCTCTTTTCTCAGCTTTTTTAATTAAACAAGTCGCACATGTCTTATATTTTTTTCCATTAAGCATAAAAGCTTCAGGTGGATAGTGATTATTACAAGAACTACATTTGTCCATTATGAAGAAAAAGATCAAATAGTAAGTAACGTATATGTATATTAAGCTATTTCACGTTTATTGAAGCTATTGAAAAAAGAGCATAAAGACGATCTGTTTTTCTCCAAACATTATAAATTAGCGATGACATAATTATTACCGCATTGTAAATAATAATTAATTATGAAGTCAATTATGACTATATTGTTATTTAACACTTAATCAATCAACTTTCCATAAATGTATTTAACGTCTAAGCACACATTGTTTAATTGATCCAATATAATATAACATAAATATATATGTAGTTGAGAATAAATCACTCATATTCTACGTATAATTATTTAAAAGTCATTCTCAATTAATGAAAGCTTATTAAAGATAGTTTATTCTGAAGTTTTTTTTTACTTTTTATTTATAATATGTATACTATATACAAAGTTTAACCCCTAAAAAGCAATTTTAAATTAATTTATAAAACATTCATTATAATGATAAAGCACATGCATATAATACAAAAGGTAGTGCGATATGAGGATGGCTAAAGCCTATGATCGA